GTACCTCAAGTGATTTTGCTTATTATTTTAGATTTATGATCTTTACATTTATTTACTTCTTTTTTTTGTTTGATATTTATGTATTTTATACATCCGTCAAATGACAGGACATATTATGGTATTCTCGTCTTCCATCCGTCCATCTTCCGTCCGTATGTCCCTCTGTTCGTAAACATTTCAATGTCCCAGCGATTTTGGAATTTATTAAGCCTTAACAGATTTCTTTTAACTTTCATTGCAAGCTTAAGTACAATCAAAGCTAGATTGAGTTTGATTTCCATGATTTTTGATCCACAACTTTTAGAGTTACGGCCCATTAATGTCTGTAACCTTTTCAATGTCGGTGCAATAACTTTGCAAAGTATTACGCAATTACCATTGAAACAAATGCAATATATTATATACAGCATAAATAGTGTAGGTGATAGTCAGACAAAATCACAGGCGTATTTCGTGACCTGAAACAGGCTCTTTTTTTTTTTTCGTGTGACAAATTAAAATGATTGTTCAATATATGAATATTGTCAGCATTCCATTATACCTTCATAGATCCCTATTAGGATAAACTGACGGGACAGAGCTTGTTTGTTACACTATCAGAATAATGTAAATCACTCATACTGGTGGAGGAATTACAGTGATTCTAGCATTAAGTTGTATGGTTGCCAATTTATTTGCAGATAAGTCAATACTATTATTACTATTGCAGCCATGGTCTTTTGATGGCGTCGTTAACTTCACCTTGTCAGAATATCCTAATGGGGCAATATTTTGTACATCATGTGAGAAAAAAAAGCATATTTACAAAATTAATAACCAGAAGTAGCAAAATCACAGGGACTTTTCGAAATTATTTTTATTATCTTAATTATCTAGACAAGCCATTGTGGCTACATATAAATATGCAAGTGTTTCTGACTTCGTTTTAAATAAAAAAATAGTTGTGGAGTGATGGCTTTTGATAATGGATATATGTATATCTAGTTTTGATATATGCTTTATTTGACAAGGAATGTCAATTTATTGTTGTTAATAAAGTTACTGTTTCAATTTTGTTGTCATTGGTCCGTTTTTCCTTGGCCCGGAACTATTTCTGAAGGCGTCTATTTGCATCAACACTGCATCGTCATGCCGGTAATTACGGGCTTAAAATAGATTTTCTGTTGACCAAATTTCATTTGACAGATGGGATTAAATCCCTAATGCGTCATATCGAGCGTAATAGCTTATTGGATAAATATTTATAGCAACCTATATCGAACTTGGGGAAACCCGTTCGTCCGCCATGGTGTTTCACGTTGTAATAGCAGCAAGCTGCAAGATGAACTCGAGTAATTTTACGGATGTTTCCTTTGATTGCTTTTCATTATAACTACTGGAGCATGCATAAAACATCCTTGTGTCGTTGTCACGAAATGTAATAGATGTAGCAACAACCATTTGTACCTTAACTTTAATAAAAACATGCCAAATGTCGTATCTTTCTAATGGGAAGCCTGTTACGACGGAGATGTGAAGGGGACGTAACTCTTGGCGAACGACTACTATGTTCTGATATGAACAACTAATGTACATTTGTTTATCACTTAGGGATGACGGGATGACTTAGAAATCCGGGAGATATAGGCATGTAATAGATCATTTTGGAATTCTAGAACGAGCATTTACTATTAATCGCCATTCAGGAGGTTAATTTCCCAGTTTAGAGTATCATCTGAACACAGTGTGAGTTTCACTATTGCCTTATATGTGTATGTACACGTGTACCGCGATGTATATATTTAAATGTGGTCACTTTTTTGTTCCACATTTTCATTTTATTGTTTCGTTAAACAGACGTTTCTTAAAACTCTGAAACATATACCAAGCGATAAATCAGCCCAACAACACGTAAATCACACGTGTTCCCTTGCTGATTCCGACATAAGAGAATTAATTCAGAAAGCCCGTATTTTCAAATGAATTTGTGATTGCAGTCTGATGTAGCGGCTGTTACTAAGCGACGAAGTGGCTTAGTCCTCTGGAGGGAATAGATTATTTCTCAATGTCATCATTATGTCTACCATCAAACTTCCCCATAAACTTTATCAACCTACATCTCTCGAAAACCGGTGATGTGAATTTATATGTCAGTTGTCTATATCTCGCACGAAAATCGTGATATTGAAGACAGTTCCTCAAATATCGAATCAATGGCGACATCCAAGCACTACAAATTTCGGAAGCAGAAATGATGCTTTCTTGAAACGGAAAATTAATAAAACGGAAATCACGGTCAGTATAAAGCTTGATGAAGAGTTGTTTCCCCTGGTTTCGTTGTAGGGAAAGATCGAGATTCGTGGCTGATGTAGAAGTCTATTGAATATAAAGGATTAACGTTATCAATTCCTTCTTATTCCAAGAAAGAAAGAAATTTGACAAAAATATCGAAAAAATGATAAAACACTAGAAAAGTGTAGGTGAATAAGCACTTGACAAACGTTTTGTTGATCCAGCCTATATCGTAAGAGGTAGAGTTCGGTCAGTCAATATTGTGTTAAATATCGGGCATTATTCTGATCGGACTGGCTTCATACAGGCTTTATAATCCATCTGGTAACAGTTTTTTGTTTCGATGAACACTTAGAGATTAAGTTAACAAAGAAATTACCTATTTCAACACAACTTTGTTATCAAACCTCTTTACATAACCAGGACATCTTTGTACGTGTTGTTTTGCGTCCTACAAGATAAGAGGATTGTACAAAAGACACACAAGTGAATAGCACATTTTAATGATTTATAGTGTTAGACACAGTGGAGCCAAACAATGAATTGAATGCATCATACAGCTGTTCTGTCCTTCTAGGACTCGCCATTGATGCTAGGGCTTTACATTTTGAAGCCTAACAGACAATTGAGGATATAACTTTTACTATTGTGTCAGTCATTTCATGCCATAGGATGGTTGTGGTGTTCGTGAAATTCTTCTTGGTGCGTTTGTATGTTTTCATTCCTGAGAACATCAATCCCGGAAACAACGACAACAGATAAAAATATAAATAGAATATCATTAGGTACTGAATTTTTCTAGACGACCAGTGAATCCAGTTGATAGTCATGTGAACATCCTAATTCAATCGAGGTAAAAAAAAAACGTTTACGAATCACCTACTTTTGGTCAATTCAATGATTAGACACAGCAAAGATTTTAGCACATATTACGGTATACTAGTGAACAGATTTTAATTTCATCAGTCGAGGTATTTTATAGAAAAGAACTGACGATTTAACCTGTACATCACTGGGTGAGGGGGATACTGTCCTCGGGTGAGGGGGATACTGTCCTGGGGTGAGGGGGATACTGTCCTGGGGTGAGGGGAATTTTGTCCTGGGGTTAGGGAGATACTGTCCTTGGGTGAGGGGGGGTTGCTGTCCTGGGGTGAGGGGGATACTGTCCTGGGGTGAGGGGAATTTTGTCCTGGGGTGAGGGGAACTTTTGTCCTAGGGTGAGGGGGATACAGTCCTGGGGTGAGGGGGATACTGTCCTGGGGTGAAGGGGATACTGTCCTGGGTGAGGGGGATACTGTCCTGGGGTGAGGGGGATACTGTCCTGGGGTGAGGGGAATTTTGTCCTGAGGTTAGGGAGATACTGTCCTTGGGTGAGGGGGGGTTGCTGTCCTGGGGTGAGGGGGATGCTGTCCTGGGGTGAGGGGAATACTGTCCTGGGGTGAGGGGAATTTTGTCCTGGGGTGAGGGAGATACTGTCTTGGGTGAGGGGGGTGCTGTCCTGGGGAGAGGGGGATACTGTCCTGGGGTGAGGGGAATTTTGTCCTGGGGTGAGGGAGATACTGTCTTGGGTGAGGGGGGTGCTGTCCTGGGGTGAGGGGGATACTGTCCTGGGGTGAGGGGAATTTTGTCCTGGGTGAGGGAGATACTGTCCTGGGGTGAGGGGGGTGCTGTCCTGGGGTGAGGGGAATTTTGTCCTTGGGTGAGGGGGGTGCTGTCCTGGGGTGAGGGGGATACTGTCCTGGGTTGAGGGGAATTTTGTCCTGGGGTGAGGGAGATACTGTCCTAGGGTGAGGGGTGCTGTCCCGGGGTGAGGGGGATACTGTCCTGGGGTGAGGGGGGGGGGGTGCTTTCCTGGGGTGAGGGGGATGCTGTCCTGGGGTGAAGGGGATACTGTCCTGGGGTGAGGAGGGATACTGTCCTCGGGTGAGGGGGATACTGTCCTGGACTCAGATTACTCTATCTCCTCACCCAGATTTTGATGTTTTCACACCAATTTACTTTATTCTAGGTATCAGCTGATTCTGAGAGGGAAATATCTGTTTGGTGCGCCATGATTCATGTATTTAATGAAAGGTGCTAATACATTGCATATTTCTGAACCATCCATAACCGGGCCTGCAGCTTTTAGCCAAGTTGTTGTTTAGAATAGTCTGTTTTCTAATCAGGCCTTCATTGAGCTACTACAGACCACTGTTGAACGACTTCAAACCTGTGTCCTAACTTAGAGAACAATACACTGACATTCCTATTGGAGGACGAGGTCAACTGAGAAGGTCGAACGCAGTCATCTGTTTGAACGTCATTGTCTATGTCGATATTACAAGGCGTCCCTACATTTTGCTGAAAAATGGGTATGTTCATCTTCATGTTCGTAAATAATACGTGAATATGAATTGGTTGGCTAAATGTTCCATTTTACTGTTCGGCAGACTGATATGACAGCCAGAACTCAACTCTCAAATAGTGTTTTCTCTCTGCTTTTCTACGTTACAACATGCATAGCTGTCGGTGATAACTGTGCAGACACCTGTCGTCATGATATCTAACCGATGGTACGGATCTTACTCTTTCTAATATCAACTTCAGTTCGTCCAGGTGCAGAGACAAATATAGCGGAATTAGATCAAGGTTACTAAGCTGTGCTTTTAAAGATAGATAATTATGTATACTAAATCAGTACTCATTAGACAGAAATCTTTACAAAAAGTGTATATCGTTTGTTCAATAAACTAAGAATGGTAGGTACATAAAAACCATACAGTCATCATGATGATGACCAGAAAGGAGAATCCAAACAGAGAATTGTCAACGACTTTCATCACCTCCTTATGTTGTACACACAAATAATTCTCATCAACATCACTATCGTCGACCATTGCAGCTCCACCCTGATCCTCTACTTCCAAAATTGTGTCGCTGATAACTTTATTTCCTTTCTTGTTGCACATGTAGCTTGTAAGTCGTCGCAGCCATTTTGGAAACTCTTTAACATCCGTCACATCTTCACAACGAAGTGTGAATATCGTCAGTACGATCAACATACCGCTGTAGAATAAGGTTATCAGCAAGAAATACGACATCCCAGCCATGTTTTCTGACACTTTAGGGAGAATGTCTTCTATGAGTGTCATGTAGACAGCAAGAGACAGGAACATCGTGATAGTGTAGGATATCCTCTCCCCTGAAGATGATGGAAGGAGGAACACGAACGGGTTCAGAAAGCACAACAGCAGAACTGGTATTGTCATCGATACGACAAAGTAAATATGTCGTCTAGATATTTGAAGCGTAAAATCTAGAGTATTAGAGGGTGTTCCGAACCCCATGTAGTAAGACACATCAGTTTTATCTATATCCCATTCTCCGTTTGAAACATACCAATCCATAACGAATTCTGTTTTGGTAAAAGAAAGTTTCAGAGAGGGTGATGCCCTCCAAAGGGCTACTCGTATTTTACAGACTTGAGTATCAAGTGGAAATCTTGACATATCGACCGTACAAACAGATTTCAAAAGTTGTCCAGGGACATAATCACATCTGCCTAAGTAAGAAATATCTAACTCAAATTCGTCACTACCAACATGACTTAGGTCGTCGGCAGAAGTGATTACATATATCTTTGGTTTCCAAACCTTAGACGAATTCACTTGTATATGTCCAATCCCTCCGTAAATGTCTGTTGTCCATTTTAAACGATAGTCAGACCAATATATACTGAACCCAGCACTTAAAGTTATTACTCCTGTTACTTCATCGAAGTCAAGAATGGATAATAAAAACATCGATATATCTATGTTCAGATCATCTTGAAAGTTGTACACAGGGTAAATCTCCTTTGTATAGTTTGAAAACAGTATATGATTCAGTTTAATCCAGTCTTCCATAGTGCCGATAGCTCCTTGTACCGTTTGTCCTGTACTAGACACAAAAACCACAAGGAGGACACATCGTGGGTCAACCATGGCGTGCTTTGAGTAACGGTTGCTGACAGAAATGAAACAAAAATGAGGAGACGATTATGAGATTGTCTAACGACTAACATGGGTGGCAGTACTATTTTTTTGTTTTTGTAACAAACACGGAATAATAATTATCAACATCAAAATCCTGATTTACAGCGAAATACGAGAAAACGACATTTTGGTATAAAAATGAACTTCCGGCCTATTTTAGTATTTTGTAGAGTTACAGAATACCAGGAGGTGTGATAGGATGTATTCAGTGAAGAAATATACGTTATAAAACTCCTTCTGATATTGAACATTATCATAGTCCAAATCCCACCAGTAAAGTAGGGTATGGTGTTAACATTTGTAGTAAAAAGAAATTAATTTATTTTATTTGACAAAATTTTGGTTAATTATGTACTCGGTAAAAATAATACGTCACTTCGTTCTATTTTTATCATTAAAAAATAAGCACGTAATAACGGCTATAACATCATTGTAACCCGACGATCATTAGAGGTATTTTAAGAATTTATTTTCAATTTCAGGTATTTTAATATATTTTTTAATGCAGCAATTTTTTTCACAACGCAATACAATTTCAGTTATAAGCGAGATGTTGAAAATAGTATTATCAATGTTTACTGTTGTCATAGTGATAATAAAGAGGTAAAATTTTCCTTGATTAAATGTTCAATACTTGATAATGAATTTATATATCTACAGAATGTTTAATCACATGATTGAGCTTATGTATTTCGTGCGAGACTAAGTAACCTCGATCTTGTACGCAATATCAATAACAATCGATGTTTTGGTGTCTATTGCTTGAAATAGTCGTTAGAAAGATATAAAATCAGAATTGAAAACATTTTGGTAAAAATCACAGAACTCATTAGTAGAGAAAAAGACACAAAACAATATTTGTTGTGAATAATTTCCATACTCAACTTCGTGCCATTATACTATATGTACCGCATTTATTATTCTCTATGGGAATACTTTTGCCTAATTTACTAATGCGAACTAGAGTGGTAGAATAAAGGTACTGATGATGACTTACCTGTAGATACCTTGCAACGAGTAAATTTGATAAAGGTTCGAAAATACCTGGAACAGCCAACAATCATTACTGTCCGACCGACCTCTTTACTAGTCATCGACTGGTTAGGTACTACTGACAAGTTGTTATATCTGTCAGAAATATCGATTCATTGTGATATATACAATATCCTATGTCTAGATCAACCACTACAGGGTAGACATTGACATGTGTGTGAGGCTCTCTCTCTCTCTCTGCGTGTGTGTGCGTGTGAGTGCGTGCGTGCGTGTGTGTGTGCGCGCGCGCGTAATTGCGTGTGTGCGTGACAGATACGTGGGTTACAGGTTTAATAGTATGGAAATATTTGATATTTTTTCTGATGAACACAAATACAAAAACAGTATGTGTTCATGTCGTGATGTAAATTTATTTTGCAAGTTTATATTAGATATATCTATATCAACTATTTTGAATGACACCCATACTTAGTGTCCCTAGATCATATCGACATGATGCTATTAACTAGTTAAAAAAATAAACGGATTAAAAGAGCCTGTTTGAACCACGCATACAGATTAACATCATGCACAGAAAAGAACGGAAATAAATTGCTAAATACTACAGACTAAAGACAAGCTTTACAAGCATACACAAAACCCCCAGTGTGTAACGAAATTCAGCAGACCGTAAGTACGTCCGAAGTCTTCAAAGCGATTAGGAATACAGGGACAAAAAGAACACTATTTTCGGAAGTTTTGTTCATGTGACAAGCATTGCGTGCCAGGAAAATTACATAAGAGTGTACCGTAAGTGAGCCGACCGTAACGGACTTAGTACGTCCGTAGTCTTAAAAACGATTAGGAATATAGGGACAAAAAAGAACACTATTATCGGGAGTTTTGCTCATGGGACAACCCAGTCTTGCCAGGAAAAAAACACTTGGCTTCGTTTTGAAGACTTGTTGAAATACTGCCTTTGTATTCTTTATATACAAAACAGGAAAAAATCTTAGATGCGGTGTTTCAAACTATTCATTTCAAAATACACTTTTTTAAGAATCCTAACGAAATCAGACTGCAAAGTTATGTCGAGTATTATATTTTATAAATTGTGATAATCAAATTTGGTTTCCGTACTCGTTCAACTAATTGCTTTTAACTAATTCTATATTTTATCATTGTGTATCATGGGAAAGGTAACGTATATTGTACGTATGTAAAACAGATCCACTACACCAGAACCCATTAGCTTCAAAATCTTCCGATGTTTCAGCTTTATTTTTCCTTTTATTTTTGTGCGAAAACATTGTTACGTAGTTGGGTTTTTTTAAACTTGAACACATGTTTTATTCGTTGCATTGAATTTTAAGGGAGGAATGTGGGCTTGTGTTTGTCTCAAAATAGAACATTTAAACGTCATTATGTCCAAATTGTACAACATATCTAAATGAGTTGTTTAAAAATGCAATTTTACTCAATATTTCCTGTCAACGCTTGATACTTCATATAAAATGTAATTAACAAGGACTAGAAAGGTTAGTCTTTAATTTGCAAGTGATTGGAACATAAATAACTACGGATTTACTTATTACCTTTTCATTTTCTATTAAACTTTTTGTCTATTATTATTGAAACGCGGTAAAATGATAAAATGAACTTGTTTATATTTCATGAAACAATATGTCACCAGCCAGTAACAAAGATTTAAAGCAAGGATGTGCTTTTGTAAGTGTTGTGTGTATCTGTGTTGTGTGTTTTCTGTGTGTATCTGTGCCCGTATCTGTGTTGTGTGTTTTCTGTGTGTATCTGTGCCCGTATCTGTGTTGTGTGTATCTATGTGTTTCAGTTTTGTGTGTTTCTGTGTTTATGTGTGTTTTTGTGTGTATCTGTGTTGTGCAATTCTGTGTGCATCTGTGTGTATCTGTGTTGTATGTATCTGTGTGTATATGTGTGTTTCTGTGTGTATCTGTGTTGTGTGTTTCTGTGTGTATAATGTGTGTAACTGTGTTTTGTGTTTTTGTGTGTATCTGTGATGTGTGTTTCTGTGTGTATCTGTGTCCGTATCTGTGTTGTGTGTTTCTGTGTGTATCTGTGTTTATATGCGTGTATCTGTGTTGTGTGTATCTGTGTGTTTCTGTGTGTTTCTGTGTGTATCTGTTTGTATCTGTGTGTTTCTGTGTGTATATGTGTTGTGTGTATCTGTGTTACTGTGTATATCTGTGTTTTTATGTGTATCTGTGTGTTTCTGTGTGTATCTGTGTTGTGTGTATCTGTGTTTCTGTGTGTATCTGTGTTTATATGTGTGTATCTTTGTGTATCTGTGTGTATCTGTGTGTATCTGTGTTTCTGTGTGTATCTCTGTCCGTATCTGTGTTGTGTGTTTCTGTGTCCGTATCTGTGATGTGTGTTTCTGTGTGCATCTGTATGTATCTCTGTCCGTATCTGTGTTGTGTGTTTCTGTGTCCGTATCTGTGATGTGTGTTTCTGTGTATATCTGTGAGGTGTGTATCTGTGTCCGTATCTGTGATGTGTGTTTCTGTGTGTATCTGTGTGTTTCTGTGTCTCTGTGTGTATCTGTGTGTTTCTGTGAGGTAACAATTAATTGGAAATAAAGAAGAAAACGAACCCATTTGACAAAGTCAATAGAACAAGCAATGACGTACAAAGTTTTACTTTGTCACTGAGAAAGACCAAATGAGACCGGGTCCGTAGAAAAGAGAAAACAAAAAAAGTTTACTTTCACTAATGGTAGGTTTAATGTAAACCCCCAATACATCTTTGTGTGATGTTCTGTTTACATGTAGAGAGATATAAATTAACCACTAGGTAATGGAGCTGCTTTACAAACACAGAAACATGTTGATGGTCTTAATGGGCAGCATTCAGATTTATCAATACAAACGTTAGAACTATCAGATTTTGAAGTGGAAATGAAAGACAGGCCGCTTTGTTAATAGGCGTTATAATGGACAGAGGTTTTCAAGAGGAATGAGAAGGATACATTGACAAATGACAATATCAATGTCTTGTTAGTGACAAATATATTGTAAAACCTAGACACAGCATCTATCTCTATATATCGTGAGATGAAATACAATACAGTTGACTTTAACACTTCATGTTGAATTTTGCTTTCCAGATATGGTATTTCTTTTGCCTATTAAAGCCAACCGAAGACAGTTTTAATGGAACATCGACTGTGCTTGACAGGATGTGAACCGAGAAGGTGAGGAGTCCTTTTCCTCAATGCAAATGCGACCTCCAGTACATATATTGCATAAGCAAGGCTTCTGACCAGTATATGTCCTACGGTATCGACACATGATAGACCAAATAGTATTGAAATTTACACACACACGATATCTATACATATCTGACACAAGTGTGTATACTATTCTCGAATCTCGTGTCTGTACGCAGCGCCTGATATGTGCCTTAGTAGTGGTATAAGAAACATTCATTATTAGGTTTTTTTTATATCTATTAGTGAGAGTAGGTTATCTTCTTATCAATGGCTATCATCCATTCGGTCACTCTAAGTACTTAGATCAGATCTATTGAGCTACAGAGATAAAGTCGTAGTGTTTTTAATTTCAATATAATCTTAAAGCCTTTTTTGTTAAACATTTTGAAAAAATCCCACAAATTTGTGGAGACTTTCCTGACCCGGGCCAGTCTAGATCTTTTATATATATCTGAGTATGCTGTTGTATTAATACGGAAATGAACGAAATTAATCTTTAATCCAATGAAATTAATTTTGTAATAGAAATTAAGGGCTTCCGCTTGTAACATATGATAAAACGTTGTCTACTGAGACCGTCCTTTCCAGATGTTGTATTAATACGACGGAGGACCCTGGGAATTTGTCACGTTTAATTCCCTTACCAAGCCCTTCTCAGGGAACGCTGTGGTATTTTTTAGAATAAAAAAATATTTCCAATTTTTCAAAGGCGAAATTTGATTCCGTTTTG